TGTACCAATGAATGTGAATGGACTCGAATCGTACAATAAATATGAATATGCTTTTTTCCCAAACACTTAGAAACAAACTAAAAAAAAAAAAAAAAGATACACAATGTTGGAACAAGTGAATTTGTATGTATAGCAAAAATAATTTCAGTTTTGGATACAGCATAGAGAGAAGACATGTAAGCTGCGGAAACAAATGGGTTCGGATATTTCACTATTTTGGGATTCGGATCTAAAATTCAATTCGGTTCAAGTTTTCGGAGAAAATCTGAATTTCGTTAGTTTCGGATGAGTTTACGGATATTCGTTGCAAATACCACAGAAAACCATATACAGATATTAATACTAAAGCTGAATCTCCCAGACCCACATGGCATTTGGGATCTGAATTGCTGAACCGCATTCGGGAGCTCCAGAATGCAATTTGGAAATTTGGATCCTGAATGCCATTCCGGTCTGGGAGCCATATACATATATTACCAAAGCTGAGGCTCCCAGACCATAATGCAATTCGCAAATTCGGATCACGAATGCCATTCGGATCTGGGAGCCTCAGGTTTCGATGTGCATGTGTATGGCTCCCAGACCAGAATGGCATTCGGGATCTAAATTTGCGAATTGCATTCGGGAGCCCTCGAATGCCATTCGGGTCTGGGAGCCTCAGCTTTAGAGCTCTCAAATGCAATTTGGAAATTCGGATACCGAACTCCATTCAGGTCTGGGAGCCATATACATATATTACTAAAGCTGAGACTCCCAGTCCCGAATGGCATTCAGAAGCTCCTGAATGCAATTCGGAAATGCGGATCCTGAATGCCATTCGGGTCTGGGAGCCTCAGCTTTAGTATTACATGTATATACTGTATATGGCTCCCATGTTGCTGTAACGAAAATTTGTGTTCAGACCCATTCAGATGCATTAAACCGAAAAAAAAACCCACATCTATTTGGCCAGAAAAGTCACATGTCCGATTCAGTTTAATTTTTGAACGAAATTTGGATGGGATCCGAAATCCGGAATCAGAAATTTGGCTTTGGACACATTCGGATACATTGGGATTCGGAAATTCGGATGTGTCCCAATGGACGAATTTCATAAAAATTTGCACATGTCTAGTGATCATGATCCTGGAGTTCTACTTTGGAGTAGTAAAAGAAACAGGTCACCAGCACTCGATTAGAATAAATATGCTCTTTTTAATGGACAATTGTGTCACTACAATCAACAGAGCCACCAACAGACCCCCACCACTACAATCAACAGACCCCCACCACCTGACTACTTTGGAGTAGAACTTGGGAGTTCTACCGAATAAGCCCCAAAACTTTTTCAAATTCCTCTAATACTCGTTCAGCTCAAAGTGTGCAACTCATTAAAAAAAACTGCAGCCTGTGCGCTTGTAACAATACGGATCACACACGTCTAATAGAGAGTAACACAACACGTTTCCATCTAGATCACCTCTACTCCTACAAATCAGGGCCAGATTAAGAGCATCATGGGCCTGGTGCTGTTGGTTGGTCGGACAAGAAGCACCAGAGGCGGTGTTCTATAAATTTTCTGGACCTGGGTCGAGAAAAATGATAGAACAAGGGCACATGCGCTTTGAGCCTAGTACGCTTTCAACGGCTGAGACAGCGTCACCGGAAGTGATGTGGTCCAGTATCCTCATGAGGTCCAGAAAAATGATAGAACAGTGGCTCTCTAATTAGGTGGCCACTGGCACTCGCTCCAAGCCGCCTAATATGCTTGATTAGAGAGCCGCCGGCACCTCTGCCTGATTGCTTTCAGTCCGGTCGGCCCGGATTGCCTTCAGGCATATGAGGGTGATCTGGGCCAGCCAGGCCTATTTTCAGTGGTGGGCCTGGAGCTGTTGCTCCAGTAGCCCCCATGTTAACCCGGCCCTGATACAAAAAGTCACCACCTGGATTAAGTGTTATGATCTGGGATTGCTTCAGTTGGTCAGGTCTAGGTTCAGCAACGTTATGTCCCCAAAAAAATGAGGTCAGCTGCCAACCTGAATAAAAAAACAAAACAATGTGTCACGCTTGGCAAAAATTAAATAACATGCAAAAAATGCTTCCTCCTGCCTGTAGAAGAGTAATCACTGGGAGAGGGGAGACTAAAAAAATGCTTCCTCCTGCCTGCAGCAGACTGACACTGCGGGAGGGGGAGACTGAAGAAATGCTTCCTCCTGTCTTCAACAGACTGATCACTGAGGGGAGGTAAGACTGAGGAAATGCTTCCACCTGCCTACAGCAGTCTGATCACTGCAGAGGAGAGACTGAGGAAATGCTTCCTCCTGCCTGCCTCAGACTGATCACTGGGGGAGGGGAGACTGAGGAAATGCTTCCTCCTGCCTGCCGCAGAATGAAGACATCATCTCAGCCTAGGCAAAAACAATGGTCTAGAGCTCAAGGACGGCTTTGAAATGATAAAAGGTGGAACTATTCTTTAAAAAATGTATACTGTTGCTATATGTGGTGACATTTCAGGAATGTATTCATGGGGACATGTAAACTTACTGACAGATCCAGTTTAAAATGTAAAGGTAAACTTTTTGTACTTTCTATAGCCGAGGAGAAGGAAAGCAGCAGGCGAGCGCATTCTCAAAAACATTTGAACTAACCGTAGAAAAGTCACAAAACCAGATAACTGTTTAAAAACAGACAAAAGGGAAAATGTAAAAATATATGGGACCAGATTCCCTTTAATGTAAAAAGACTGAGAGCGCGGCCATACCTCCCACGTCGCCCGCAGCTTATTCATCAGCAGAAATCCCGCGCACTTATGTCCATTACAATACTCAAATCCGTCCAAGTAATGGGAATGCACATCAGTTATTGAAAACAGCCAATTACTGGGCATAAAGCAGGGCAGAGAGTAATAAGATACAGATAGTGCAGCTACATAAAGCACTTTGTGAATTCCACATGCTGCGCACAAGACAAAGTAATTGATTTTTTTTACCCCTTCTAAGATGAAACAAGTTATCACTAAAATATAGTCCATCGCTGTCAGTTTGACAATTTAATTACCTTCATCTATCTGATTCCTTTTCATTCTGAACTGGGGTGGAAAAAAAGGGAAGCTTTGCAGCGGAAAAGTAAGCTTGTCTGAAGCCGCTTGCGTCTGCCCAGAGGAGACGGAAGATGATGGAAAAGGTGACGTAGCAACGTTCTCTTGAGGTAAAGTGAAGGTCTTGCTTCAGGATATTTTTTGGCCTCTCCAATTGCGGTCAAAGGGCCGCTCAACAGATACTCCATTTTTATGAGTAAAGCTAGGAGCGCCCGACACACATGGTCAAATAGCTCAAAGTTGATTGAGTTGGTTGATTGAGTGGTCCATTGAACTAAATTAGAGAAGAAGCAACTTTAAGACCACCAGTGGGTCACCTATCACCATACCTTCGTTGTAGAGCAACCTCCTCAAAGAAGAAGTAACTTTACTCAAAAACAGACCGTCTGTTGAGTGGTCCATTGACTTAGGACCACAACTGGGTCACAAACTGCCATGCCTTGATTGTAGATCAGTAGTAACTGTTCAGATGTACATGAATCAAACGCAACTTGGATTGGTCTAGAGCTACCACACTCCACTAAATCAGACAATTTGCCCTGGAAGCTCTTAACTTTACTCATTAAAATGGAATATCGGTTGAGTGGTCGGTTGACTGCGATCACAGAGGCAGTAGCCTTAGGACCACAACTGGGTCACCAATTACTATGCCTTGATTGTAGATCATCCACCTCAAAGGAGAAGTAGCTTGTCAGATGTACATGAATCAAACCCAACTTGGATTGGTCTAGAGCTACCAGACTCTACAACACACACAGGGACCATGGGGAACAAAAGTGGCCCTCCTCCAGAAGGAAGGACAGTGTCAGCACCAATTCAGAGGTGATTTGAGGATCTACAGCCGAGTGATACACAAATAAGATACATTGTTGTTAATAGTTAAGGTACTTAAATGTATTTTTAAGATTTACCTCCTAAGTTTAGTGTCACTTCAAAGTAACTTTTAAACCAAAAATAGCTACCTAATTATTTCATACAAATGAAGCACATGTTTTTTTTTTGTTTACAAATATAACATATGAACATTTCATTTTCTTCCTTTCCTATGAGAACTGCCACCAAGAGTCCTACCAGCCCAACAATGGCCATAGCCTGGTCACAGGTTGACTTTACAGGACATTGCCATGGTTTTCTCAGGAGGCATTTAACATTATTTTGCATTAGGAGACGTACCTGGATCAGAGACTCGGACAATTTCTCTTCGTCTACTTCTAAAATTATGTTCTTTATTTCCTCGTAAGACATCCGATATGACCCCAGAAAGATGGCTGAAAGGTACAACACAAAGGTATCGTAGCTTAGTAGATCAGAAACACAAAAAGTTGGCAAAGATGAAGATCCAACTGCAAAGACGGAAATGACTCCAAGTAACAGCGAGAGAACAAAAGACAAGATGTCAAGCTCATCGTTTGTAATGTTATTAGGCCAATACAAGGCCAAAAGCAGCTTTCACAGGGTGTCTATATGTTCCTTTGTTTTTTTTTTCTTTTTTGTTCTTCTTAAACCTTGTTCTGTGCTGAGACGGCTCTTGTCCTCAAAGTAGATCTTCTACCTGCTGCTCTGACTTGGTACACTTTGATTAAATATGAAATCTCAGCTTTAGAATGACCAACAACAACATAGTGCAAAGGCCTGCCTACACCATTCAATTTAAGTCTAGTAAGGTAGGCCCTCAGACTACGCATTTGTTGGTGAATCCAAAAGAGATCGTATGATCAGATTGTAATAGGTGTGCTATCATCAAAGCCCAGTTGACCATGATCAATGCATTTACAGGTACATGACAACAAAAGGTGTGCAAAGTTTTACAGGCTATGAGTAGAAATACCTGTGACCTGCCAACATGCTGCAGAGAAGGACTCTTGCTCTGCGTGTGGAAGCAGTGGTCTCCCTACAGAGGTCGGACGGGCCCCCCCATCTGTGTCAGAGCTAGAACTCACAAATCAGCAAAGCAAATGCTCCTGGCTAATTGGAGAGATGACTGAGGGGGTGTGTCGGGGCTCTACAGAATCCATCCAAAGCAGGCAAGCTGATTGGTGGCCTGTTCTACAGCACTGTTCTCTGCCCCTTAATATTACACAAGCCTGGCAAGGCAATGATAATGGAACGTGTGACTTACAGAGGTTTTGGGCTGCTTTGCTGTCGAGAACTCTCAGCTCTTTCACTTTTTTCTTGGCTAGTATCGGCTTCTTCTCCTCCTCTTGCTCCACTGCCTTCTTAGCTGCAAAACAAGAGAAAGTCTTAATTGCTTATTCCATCTCCATGCAGCTTGCGGTCTGGAGGTTGAATACTTTTTTAAATAAAAGATGGTTTCAAAAACATTGTTTACTAAAATATTTTAATTTAAAAATAGCAATATCTATGCGTTTTCTGCAATATTATACTCTCTATCTATTATTTATGGTGGATTCAGAAAACATGTCGGCCTTCTCTTGCTCTACACTTATTCCAATTTTCCATCTGTCATCACCCCAACCATGCCAATTATGACCTCACACCTCATTATTAGATGTAACCCACACACATAAAGGGTCAACCAGGCATTTGCAGGGCCAGCGGGTATGGTAGCTTGTCAGGAGATGGTCAGGCAAAGGAAACATTGTCCTGCTGTTCTAGGATCCCAGAAGTCCTTAAAGACGGACTTTACCCACCAGTTTAGCTGTCTCCCAAAACAGTTACTTTCAAGGCATGCCGACTGTCTAGGTTGCCTGTGTGCTGATTTCAGCTCTCAACCAAACGTTCAAGCCCTCAAATGGCTGGTGTGATAGCCGATCACATGTGCTCCCATGGCAAATGCAATCCACATGAGAGCCCGCAAAGCCACCCTGAGAGCCCGCACAGCCTCCTGGAACCCGACATAGCCCACTTTAGGGCCCACACAGCCCACCTGAGAGACCCCTCACAGTCATCCTGAGATCACGCAGAGCCAACCCAAAAGCCTGTACAGCCCCCCAGGCCACACACAGCCTCCTGAGACCCCACACACAGCTCACATGAGAGCCCACACAGCCCACCTGAGAGCCTGCACAGCTCACCTGAGAGACCCTGCACAGTCATCCTAAGAGCCTATTGATGTCACTCAAGAGCCTGCACAGCCCCCCAGCCCCTAAGACCCCACACAGCCTCCTGAGACCCCACACACAGTTCACCTGAGACCCTTCACAGCCCACCTGAGATCCCTCACACCCCGCCCGAGACCCCACACAGCCCACCCGAGATTCTTTAAAGCCTCCTGAGACCCTCCACAGCCTCCTGAAACGCTGCACAGCCCTGAGATCATCCTCCTGAGGCACCCGGGGGCAGCACAGAGAATGTAGCTTCATATTGCTCTGCATTGATGTATAATGCGTTGCTGGGATTTGTGGGCTGTGTGGGGTCTCTGCTATAGCTGATATTATTCTGCATTGCTGTATAATGTATTGCTGAGATTTGTATTCCCTCCACAGCTCGGAGTCAGTGGCAGAACAAACAGGATCACAGCTTGCAACTGTGACTGGGCCCTGGTGCTCCACCATTGTCCTAAATCATTATTCTTTATTATTTTATAGAAAAACAAACATTGGTAATTGGTATTGGCGAGTTCTTTAGAAAAGTATCGGTACTTGGTCTTCAAAAAAATGGTATTGGCGCATCCCTACAATTCAGGTAAGCAGGAGGGGGTGGGGGTTGGAGCGGGATGGGGGGTGATTTCAATGTGACCATGTTTCATGAAATATGGGTGTAACATGGAACATGGTCTGAAAAGTACATTTTGCATTTAAAACTTTATTTTTTTTATTTTTGAAGGGTTACAAGCTGACAAACTGATCGTTTATATAGTTTTTCTTCTTGTATGAAATCCTTTGTACAGAAATAAGCACTGTATTCAATTCTCTTTAACGCTTTGGTGCACGCAATGGATGTTGAAGAAGAAAGCCGAAACACAACAGGTCTGTTCAGCAAATAAACAATTTCCATATTGTGAAACCGCATTTCGGAGTTCGCCGCGCAGAACGAGATGCAGAATTATCCGCCATCATCGCTACATAATAACCTTTTCAATGCGTCTCTTACAGTTACTTGTAAACGCAAGCCAAACCTTTACAAAGGGCTGTTACATAAAACAGGCACAAACAATGGCCGCCGTTTTATGCGCTGTGGAAGATCTGTCCTTGAGCAGTTTTTTTTTTTTGCCAGTGCAAGTCATTTTGTGTATGCGGCATCGGAGGAATGTATTATTAGCAACTCAAGATCGCTGGTAATACCTGGCCAATCGGTGTGCAGCATTGTAAGCTTGTTGTTCAATGGGGAACAGCGCACACAATCGACATTTAAACACAGAACAAGTTGTCTTTCTGCACATAATGGTGCAAATGGCGACTACGTAATCCCAGCTGCAATAATTTGCCTTTTCATAAACAATGTATAGCAGATATAACATTGCCTCTGTATTGTATATATATATATATATATATATAATGCCGCAATGTCAGAAACATATCTAGTCGCAGAGACTGAAAAAAGACAAAAAGATATAATTGCTTAGCCTTGAGATATGCCAACAATGGAAACGGAAAACGTTAAAGTGAACCTGTCATTAACTTTGACATTTCATACAAATTAAGAAAGGGCAAAAGGGCAGCAATAGTTTAAGGCACATATGTCAAACTCAAGGCCCAGGGGCCGAATCCGGCCCACCAGGCCATTTCCTAGACTTCTACTTTCAGATCTAGGTATTAAGTTATTACTAAAACCAATGATAATCGAATGCAGAGGCAATTGTAATAAAGATTAGATACATTTATTAGCGAAAGCCAAAACTTTTCTTTATTTTGAATAGTTTTTTTCCCGTCCCATTGGGGATTATAATATATTATATAACAATATAACAAATATAAAACATAATTGATTTTTTTGTATTATTATTTATGCTTCTAGATATGTTCAGAAGGAAAGGTAATTGTGGAAATCCTTTGGTGTGCAGAAGCTGCCAGCCTAATACTCATAGCATTCACATGTACAACACTGCCATACTTTTGGATGAGATTTAGAATATAAAACAAAACACACAAAAAAAACACCCTCTGGGTTCCAGCACTATTAATGCAATTCACCAAACAAGGATTAGGGTTGAGAAGAGCCTCACAGGGATTTTTATGAATGGGGTCATTCAACAGAGTGTGGAGCACATCATACACCTTCGTCCATGGTCCTTCTACGATTGGGCAGGTCCACCATGTGTACGTGTAATGTGCCTGCATCAAAAGCAATTGGTGATTGACCAAGGGTAATGTGGGTCAGAGGACTGGGTACTGTGTACCATCTGAAAAGTATTTTATTATTAAACTACATTGTAAATAGATATATTTTTATACTAGTATAAGTCTGAATATGAAGTCTAAATAAAGTCAAAATCCTGAATAATAATGCTAATAATAATAATAAATACACACTCAGAGAGCTGACCATCCACTTGTAAAAAGCGGAACTGGAACAGCCTGTTGCAAGAAGGGCAGTTAAAAACGAATGTTCTTTGCAGAGACACCTGGAATCGTCCATTTGACCTCCAGAAACAAAATGACCCTGGGCAAAAAATAAATAAAAAAACATAATTGTTGTGTGAACCTCTCTGATGTCATTGATAAGAAGGTTAGTCCTGCAGGTGGGCAAATGCCCAGCATGCATGTATGAGTCAGGGCCTGATGAGCGCGTTTTGCTGCCCGTAGCCTGAGCGGTCCTCTGACTTCAGCTATTTCTGGGATCATTTGCTTACTACAGTTGCAAAACACTTTTATGTCTCATGAACAAAGCGAATTTTTCCAGCAGGTAGAATTAATCTCCCCTGCGCGGTTCATCATTGCCTTACCGTGATCGATAATAAATTCTCTGATGACCATATTTTGCTGTTGTCCAATAAGCAAACAAAAGGTAATTATGCAGAAAACCTGTTATTTGTAACAGATTGTAGGAAAGGAGCCAACAACATATAACAAATAGTAAAGATTTGCTGTGATAAAAATCAATGTTCTACTTTTTTTTTCTTTCATATTTTGTCTTCCTCTCCTCCACATCCACACATTCAAAAAACAAAACCGGTGATTTGGACATGGATATTGGGACCAAAATTATACTATGGCCTTGTACATGTCGACTTTTTCCAGATTTGTCCAAAATTCCATTTTAAGGTGAATACTATATGGCTGACTCAAAATCTGGTACAAGACAACAGAAGGGCAACAGTGCCGTGTCAGATTCCTTGCATCACCTTTCACCATCTCGTGGCGCAATAAAGTACTGATGGGGCGCTCATAATAATCTGGCCACTCAGTGTATAATCAGATTCTTGCTATAAAACTCCCTGAAGAACCATACGTGCGGAATGCGTTGGTAGGCTATCGTTTATTGCATCAATCTTATGGAAAGAATACATGAATTTAATCTGGATGAGATGTATGAATAAATGTTAAATTGTACAATATGCTATTTATCTAAATCTTGCAAGAATCAGGGAAATAATTGTCATGATGTTTTTTTTATGTATTTATGACATTTTAATCTCTAAAATAACTTTTTGAAAATTGTAATGCAAGTCTGACACTTCTTAAAGCCCCATCACTACTATATGTAGTCGTTTGGAAGTAATATGATTTAACAGGGGTGAGGTCTCAGACCACTTGGAGGTCAAGGATCCGGGTAGCATATTTTGAAAACCTTATTAATAAATCAAAAAGCATATGCCTTTTAAATTAATTATTAAATTTATTCATGATTTATTTTATTATACATTTTTGACAAACATGAAAAAGCAATAAGAACGAGAAGTGCCAAAAAAAGGATTTTTTTTTTTTTTAGTTGGAGCTGGTTGGGGTGTGAAGGATGCCCTGTAAGTAGTAACTTTTGTTTCGTGGAGCTGGATACAAAGCCTATTCCCCTGGTAGAAATAGATGTTTAGCTGTGCAGCAAGTAGCAGACAGGACTGAGTTTTTCTTCATTTTTTTTAATAATGGAAATGCCAAAGAAGTTTAATGAAATGCTGAAAATGTGTATTTGATGCAGGAAATACAATAAAGGTGGTAGTGGCCAGTTTGACACCAAAAAACATATTATGAGTTGAGTTTAATGGTGATGGGGTTAAACCCCTGTCATATGTTATTGCTTTTTGTGTTTCCTCTAGGGAAATACACCTTCTCTCTAGTTTTGGTGACCACGGGGACTGAGTGAGTGAAGGGAAATCCAAAATTT